TTGTGTTTTCTGTTCCTGAATGGGACCAACCCCAAAACCTAAACAGCAGAACAACACAGGGTGCCTCCTGGCCCAGTTGTCATGGCCTGTGGTCAGTGCCCAAGCGTGGACAAACCGAGGCCACGCAGGTAAGTACAGCACTCCGCAACAGGCTAGAGGAGCTAGCATCCCTCCTTTCCAGTTCTCAAAAAGAAGCACTTCGCGCAGGGCCCAGCGGAGGGAAAATCTGAGATCCGGAAAGATTCCCTTAGCTCTCCGCTTTCACTTGCTCACTTCCTCTTTTTGCCTTTTCCTTTTTTCTTTTTTTAAGTCCTCACAGATGGTCTTCCTCATTTCTAGAAAGAGTGGAACCCAGTTCTTAGCATTTACCTATTTCTCTGTATTTCTCATTATCAAGAAACACTTTAAAGACCTCCTGTTTTAACTTAATTAAAACTACATTTAAACAGAGATGATGAATATGTAAATTATGTTAAATTTTTTTAGTCATCAGCCACTTTAAGGGATTAGAAAGTAGAATTAATTGGATTGTTTGTGAGAACATCTGAAAAGACATTGAATGGAATGCCAGTTTGGAGACATGTTGAATACCTTACTATGGGAATTCTGCCACAGTATTTGGGTTTTTTGTTTGTTTCAGTTTTTGTTTTTTGGTTTGTTTGTTTCATACATAAAACACCATGCTTTTTCTGTTCCTCGTTAGCTTGCTGTCTAGTGATCTGGATAGACATTACATTCTGTGCTTCCACAGCTCAGGGAGGGATTCCAAGGGTCAGTGCCATTTATGTATATGATTTATCAAAGCTGAGCATATGAAGAGCTTTCAGAAAAGTCTAACAACCTGGTATCTAGGTTATTTCCACTTCAGTTGTAGTTTCTTAGATGTGGACTCTTGGGGTCTATGTTAAACATTCTTCCCACAAGCAGTTGTTTTTAGAGACTCCAACTCCTAATACCTAAGGGAGGACAGTAAGCATTCTGTTGTGTCACATGAATAGCAAAGGAAAAGCAGTTGAATCCCAAACTGCTCCAGTTTGTCACTGGCACAGTCTCCCAGGCCAGCTCTCTCCTTCATCCACAGTGGTGTATGCGCTTGTTCTTAAAACTTAAAAGTGAATCAGAATTCTAAGTTTAGAATTCAGGCAAAGGATTATACTTAATTTAGAACTTAAGTGAAGTCATTCAGTGTCTTTGGACATGACTAAGATTGTCAGAAAATGAACATCCATCAAGAATTTATCTAGATAGTTTGGGGCCAGGAACAAAAAATTTTGACAACTATATAGAAATGATGATCTTTTCTAATGGTTCCCATTCTGAACTGTAAATTTTGTGAAAGAGTTCATTTTTCTCCGTGATGTTAAAAAAAAAAAAAAAACTATCCTGGATGATTTTTTTTTTTTTTTTAACTTAGGGTGACTTCAAAATTCAGGGTAGCTTGAAACATTTATTTAAATTGTTCTAAGCCGGGCGGTGGTGGCGCACGCCTTTAATCCCAGCACTCGGGAGGCAGAGCCAGGCGGATCTCTGTGAGTTCGAGGCCAGCCTGGGCTACCAAGTGAGTTCCAGGAAAAAGGCGCAAAGCTACACAGAGAAACCCTGTCTCGAAAAACCAAAAAATAAAAAATAAATAAAAATAAATTGTTCTAGTATTAATCAAAACCAGAGTCAGATATTGGGGTAAAAAAACTAATAGATCCAAAGAGTGGAAGAATGACCAGCTAACCTTGGCTCTCCACACTTCCCCCAGATCAAAAAGCCTGCAAAATCTCCAACTCCCTCCCTACTTCCTGTGTGTCTCTCTATCCAGCTCCCTGGGTTCTTCTTACCTCTATGGTTAATTCCAATCAGGAGTGTCAGTGTGAACAATTATCCCACAACAGAATCTAATTATTCTTCAAAATTAGCTAATTTAATTCATTTAAAATCAGTGTGTTGGTTATTTTAATTATATACCTTTGTCAAAAATTATATAACTATGCCCCCAGGCAAGAGTACTTTTAAGAAAAGGAAAAGAAGAAATATGTCGATTATTTATCCAATTTGATTTATTTACCTTCATTTTATTTTCATATATTATTGTTCCATAAATGGATTGCACTATACTGAATACTATTTATCCATAAAATATAATATATAAAAACTGTTTCATTATATTTAAATTTCTGTGCTTCCTTCCTCTCTTTTAGAACAGTTAAAACTGATCAAAATGACAGAGTATTAACTTATAGTTTCTGACTTTGTGCCTCACTGATGAATTTACTTTGTGCCAGTACAGCCTGAAAAAAATGTTTGCTTATGATCTAAACCTATGTTTCCATCAAGAGATATTCTTGGGCTGTCATGGTGACACATACCTTTAATCGCATTGCTAGGTAGATATTCAAACAACTGAGCCACATCCCCTGGCCTATGACAAACTCTTTTGATGAATTAAAATCAATTAGAAGACAATAAACAACCAAGCAGCGTCAGGTACAAAAATAAATTGTACTCATCACTGGCCAACATTAGTGATGTGGGAATATTGGGGTATCTTTGAGGACACCGGGGCCTTTGTCAAAGGCCAGGATCCCAGAAAGTAGAATTGTCACCAAAGTGGCCTCAAGCCTTTCGGGTTCTTGTCTAGAGAATTCAAAGAATGAACTTTGAGAACCACAGAGGGTATGTTTTAGAGAGAAGTTTATCATAGATTCTCTTAAGAGAAAGTGAAGACAGAACTCCTGTGTAGCAGAAAGGGTCTCTGGGGATGGGATACCATCAAGCTGCCAGTTCTGGGGAACTTTCTGAAGAATCTACAGTACACACTGGGCTGAAGCATAGGGAGAAGATGAGCTAGTCAGCCCAGGTGGCCCAGCTGTGAGGCGTTCAGTGCCTCTACCCAGTTTCAGTCGTATTCTCATGTACGGATTCCAGCCAAGGGAAAAGGACAACAAGGAGCCAGGAACTAGCATGCCTATCCACCACCAAGGGCATCGCTGCACTCCTGCTTTGGGGCCTCTGCCTACCTGACCAGCTTCTGTCTCCTGTTCTCATCATTGTCTGGATGAGTTCTAGAAGTCCCCACTTTGAGCCTGCTTTTCTGGATAAATGAGAGCAAGGGCCAAGTACAGGGAGAGTCTTTATGAGGATCCAAGGGCCAAGTACAGGGAGAGTCTTTATGAGGATCCAAAGGCAACAGGTAGTTTATTCTATTTGTGTGGGAGATTGCTTCTGTTTCCTATAAAGAAGTGTAACACTCACTTACAAAAAAAGTTAATGGAAGGCACAGGGACAACCTTGTTCAGAGCCCTGTACCATATGGCAGTGTGGCCCAGCACAGCTGTGAATGTGGCTCAAAACAAAATCATAAACTTACTTAAAATGCAGTTTTTCTGTGATTGATATTTTAACTCCATTGCATTATTCTCACATGAACTTTGTAGGTGACAGTGTCATAAGAAATTGTCAGGAGATTGGACATGCCTGCAAATGCTTAGCACTTAAAAAAACATATGACTAATTTAATGCCCACAAAATACATGCTAAGCATGTCAATTTACTGTACTTTGTTTCATGTTAGTGTTAAGGAGTTCTGATCTAAGAAAGACTTACAGCCCTCACTTCACAACCTGAGGCGATATTCCTATCCTGTAACATGAAATCATTACAGGTCTATACTGGTAGCTTTACTGGCACAATGGTGGCCATAATATCTCTTTGACACAGAGTTCTCGACTAGAGAACAAACCCAATTGTTTTGTCAAATGTTTTCTAGGAAGAGTCTGAAGTCAAACATGTAAGTTTCTTGTGTGAGGTTGGCTTAATGTCGTCGCTCCCTGTAAAACCACTGCTCCAGATAACTTCATCGCAGCCAAAGTGAATATTCCCAGATGTGGTTACCTCTCACTCTTACACATTCTAGACATTCTAGCTGAATGGTTCCAGCTTTGCCCTTAGCCCATCCACATTAGTCTACGATGAAACGATCGATCCATCACTCCTTACATAGGAAGAATGTACATAGCTAATTTATGCCTGTGTGTGTGTGCATAAGACACAAAGATGCTATGAACAGTAGTGTTGTTGACCACGTTGGCAATAGAACCACTGAAGGAGATTAAAATGGTAAACTAAAAATCGTAGATTGAGAAATAGTGTGTTAAATTGCATATGCCCTATTCTAGCTGGAAAGTAACATATTTTTCAACTCTTAGGACAACTGTGTGTGGTGGGGGGATGGGGGAGATTACATCACTGTAGTAAGATCTTGTTGACTTCCAAGTCAATATTGTCAGTTGAATTGAACATTTCCATTTTCATGAATGATGCTTAAGAAAATAAGCAAGCAAGAGAGACTAACTTTATGCTTTTATAATAAAAGGCAGTTTATTAGAAGAAAACCATGTTAAGGAAAATTCTAGCATGTATTTTAAATGTAAAAGATTAAGTGCCTTTATATTAAGCTTCCTATTATTTCCATTTTGTTTGAGGAACTTGAACTGTGTTGAGAATTTTCTTTACATCCTCCCCTGGTATCCATATCAGAGCAGCCCCAGTAGGAAAAATAGCCTGAGATTAGTCTCAGGGATGTGCTTTTCACTGTTAGGAAATCACTCTTAAAGTAGCCCACACTTAATGGAGATAGTTCATCATTCATTTTACTTTTGCGATTAACTTTGTCAAAATAATTGTCTGTAATAATTTGTAGGGGTTGTATGTAATATATGAGTATTTGAATAAACTTGTTGGGCAATATGGTAAAAAGCTGCTTCTTGAAGAGTGATATAAATTACTTTTGTTTTAGGCTAATCTGAGAATACATCTACCTGATGGGCTGGCTTCTTTGAAGAAGTAATTGATGTTGGCTAGGTCCTAGGGAGAGTGTTTTGTTAACTTGAATCCGTTACAAGATCAGCAGTAATATGTCACAATTTGTGACAGGGAGAATAGAATTTTAGTAGAATTTACATGTTCTATTAATAGAAATTTTATTAATTCACAATTTGTTTTTCTTGTAGCTCACAGGAAGATGAAAGACCTTTGTCACCTTTCTATCTGAGGTATTTATTTATTTATTTTGTCTTATTTTGGTCTACTATAGGACATAGAGGTGAGTTAAGGTCCCGTTGGGTTTATTTACCCATTTTTCCTTTCTCTTCTTTGAGACAGTCTCATACATCCCAGAGTTTACTGTGCAGCTGAAGACAACTTTGAACTTTTGTTCCGCCCGCCTTTACCTCTGCAGCTCCGAGGTTACAGACTTGCACTAACCACACCTGGTTTTCTGTGGTACTGGGGATAGGGTTTTTACTGTTTAATATAATTGAAAAGACTAGAATGAGACATTTTATTTTAAATTCAGAATGTAATTCCCAAAACTTCCTGACGCTAAGGTAGTAAGTAACCTAAATAAAAAACCTACCTAGGCACATAACATGTTGTTAGCATCCACAAGGCCCTGGGCTCAGTCCTGGCACACAGAGCTCTAATTTGTGTGTGTGTGTGTGTGTGTGTGTGTGTGTGTGTGTGTGTGTGTGTGTGTACACATACAGTCCCTAGTACCCTGAAGAAGCCTTGGATTATGCTAACTCATTTTCTGGGAAGTATAGTGAAACAATAAACTAAATACTCAGCAAATTTAAGCTTCTGGAGCTCAGGGTTGTTTCTAACATTTATAGGTCCAGAATAACAACTATTTAACAGCAACAGGCCAAGCTAACAGACTTCAGGACAGAAGTTAGGTAAAATTACACCAGGAACTGAATACTTGGGATGTCATTGGGATCTTTTGTATTCTCCGTGTGAGCCACCTGACTGAGATTTAAAACCAAGTCTTCCTTATTGCATTTCTTTTATAACTACCCTCCCACCTCAAAGGCCTCTAAAATATGCTACAGTGGTGGTTCTCAACTTTCCTAATACTATAACCCTGTAACCATAAAATTATTTTCATTGCTACATCATAACTGTAATTTTGCTACTGTTATGAATCATAATGTAAATATCTGATATGCAGGATGTCTGATATGTGACCTCTGTGAAAGGGTTGTTTGACCCCCACAAGGGTTGTGACCCACAGCTTGAGAACCACTGTGCTAGAATATCATACAACCACATAAACTAAAAATGTCGAGCTTTTTAGTCTTGCCTTCATTTTAAAGTCTACTTTTTAAAGGAAATATCAGGATGCATAATACACCATTTGTTTATTTACTTATTATTTATTTACTTTTAATCTAGTCTGTGGCAATCATCACAGAGTTAGATTTAGGCTTTATTTCAGTAGTTTAGAACTGTGGCACAGAATGCCAGGCACAGTTGAGTGAGTGCTTTCCCCAGGGCTCTGCCCTGCGGCACACTGTGTAACAGGTTTCAGGTTGAGGCAGCCCACCAGTGGTGGTTGTTTTGTTTTTAAACCCTGGTTTCATCCAAACTGAATTTGCATATTCTGATGACCGGGAAGTCTCAGTTGTGCAGCCACTGTGGGCGTTTGAAGGTGTCACCCCAGAGTCCACAGGGACTCTGAGATCACATGTAACCATGGATGGTAACAGAAAACAAGTGATTGCTGGCTAGTAAGGGAAGTTAAGCTTCACAGAGCACAGGACTGGATCACTGGATCATGCCACCTATTAAAGGCCTTTTCCTGACTGTCTTAATTTTGTTACCCTGGGTGACAACAATCCGTGTTTTAAGTAGTATTGAATTTTATTTTTATGTTTACTATATTTAAGGTAGATGGCAAAAATGGGCTTAAGTCTTCAAAGATATATACCAGTGTTTTACAGTATGAAACTGTGAATTTTTTTCTCATTACCAGTACTATAATATTTCCAGAATACTGTCTGTAAAAAAAAATGTCTAAATTGGTAGAATGAAAGAAAAATAAGGAGGCTGCAGAGATGACTCAGTGGCTAAGAGCCCTGGCTGCTCTTCCAGAGGCCCGGAGTCCTGTTCCAGAATCTACATGGTAGTTCACAAGAGCCTGTACTCTAGTTCCAGGGGATTAGATACCCATTTCTGGCCTCCCAAGGCACCAGACACTGAGCACAAATGTACATACATGAAGGCAAAACATCCGCACACATGAAATTAAAAAAGAATTTAAATAAAATTTTTAGAAAGAAAGCTCATAGTGTATTTACTGGACTTTGAATGCAAGCTACTTGCTCTATTCAATATTAGGGTCATAAACACTAAAATGCAAGGACATTAGAAATAAAGAATGAAATTGTAAAGGGATAGCTCAGCAGGTAAGAGCCCTGAATGCTCTTTCAGAGTTCAGTTCCCCTCCCCCACATCAATGGCTCACACCCTCCTGTAACTCCCTCACCAGGGCATCTGATGCCTTCTTCTGACCTTCTTGGGCATACACACACACACACACACACACACACACACACACACACACACACACACACACGACATTATACACACACATACACATAAATAAACAAAAATAATAAAAAATAAACCCTCAAGAATGAATATTCCTGCAAGTCTATGTTCAAAGCAGAAAAAGGAAAGCAGGCAGCAGGCACATAATTGAAGTTCAAAGTAAGTGGAGCTGTTGTTTCACAAAAGCAAAAATAGTAATTATTTAACCTGCAATTAAAATTCCAAAAGTATTTTTTTTCTTTTCTGAGTAACATTATATGATACTCTCAAAAATAATATAAGAATTAGTTTGGTATGAGTTTATCTTAATTTTTTTTTCTCACTTGATATGAAACTAAAAGAAACTACTGAGAAAACAGGAAGCCACCCCCATAATTATTTGGCTGGCTAGTTTGAGGTAGCCTTTCTTGCTATTCTGTCATAAAGAATTTAAGTGGGAGAAAGAAAGGTGATTGCTAATTATTATTCATCTCTGTTGGGAACTTTTAACTAGAAATGTGACATGTCTGCTAATGAACAATTTATAAATAAGTGCACATTTCTTGTGTTATATCTAATAAGAGTGAATAATGCTTAGCTGTTTTTAATATGTTTTCATGTTTCTACAACTTCAATTTTTTGAATCATTTTATTACTTAAGAGTTCTTTGCTTCAATGTCCAAAACATAGTTATTACAAGACTCACAAATTCCTCACTGATTTTATTAAGATGATAAAAAAATTATACTCATTTCTTTACATTCAAAGTAATATTTTGTCTGTAGAAAGTAAAAATGGATTGAGAGCTGCAACCTGCTACTTTCCCAAATAGTAAGTTGAGTACTGAATGCTATCTATTATATTTGATGGTGTTGATTCTTTAGATTTTTTTCTTAAGGGGGGGAAGGACCAACCAACAGATGAGACGTATCTGCTAAGACAGGCACTCAGCAGAAACAGAGCCATCAATAAGGAGCCAGGCAGAGTGGTTGGGGGTGAACAACTGGTCAGTAGTCGAATTAATGCTGGAAGATCAGCACAAAGTGGAACAGAAGACTCAGGAGGCTGCAGTCTGGGAGTGGGCGGCCTTCACAGAGAATGAAATGGGTCAGGACAGATGGAAGAGAGAGGACAGCAGTCCTCTGGTCTCAAAGGAAGGGGAGCAGATGGTCATCAAGGCAGGTCGCACAGGGACCTAGCCACTGGTGCTCAGCTGGTGAGGCAGGAACGTGGATGAAGGGCCTGGAAGGAGGCTGCAGCACACCAGTGGAGGCCTCAGGGTGTGAGTTTGGCTGGTGGACAGGGTAGGGCACCGGAGCGGGGAACCAAAGGAGGCCAACCTTCCTCACCTTGCTTCACGGCCATGGTGTAGAATTTCTTCCTCTGTGACTTCCTTCTTCATAGTCACGTTGCACCCTGTATTTCTTTCTCTCCTGGGCATTTTAGTTGCTTCAGACCTTTCTGTAATAAAGCAAGACTGTTAGACACAAGTGCCCACACGCTGGGTCTAAGTAAATACGGTCTGTGGTAACAGTCCAGTGTCCACTGCAGTCCCTCTTTAGTCTGCCTAACTCTACAGAGAGCCGGTCTCTTACTTCGACGGGGAAGGAAATAAAAGCTAGAGAGCAACACCTGCTACCACCATGTGTCAAGTTCATTGCAGTTACAGTAGCTTAGATAGTGTGTGTCCTTGTTCCCCAGATTGCTCTCTTGGGATTAACCAGCCCTAATGAAATAATTAGGGCAATGAAAGCGAAGCAAAACTTGGGTAAGACCTCAGCTAAACAAACACATGCCTGTGCACGACACACAAGGAACATTCTTGGCAAGCGTATCATACTGTGTTCTCTTTCAGACTCTAGGCTGGTATCCAAAACCAGGAACCCCCAACTCAACTGATCAGATTAACATCAAAAGCAACTTGCCCTTGATGTTCTTCCATGCCCGGCGCTGCCTGTTGCTGTCTGCATTCTTCCTCCTGGCATCTGGTCAGATCTGGCTGGGATCTGATGCTTGTTATGTTTCCATTTGTCTGAGTTCTCAGTGTCTACAGACTTGGCATTGGGCTTCTAGAGCCAATTTCCACCGGAACCTGGGCTCTTCCCCTCCACTTTCTCTTCATCTCCCCCTGCTCCCACCCCACCTACCTTCAAGCTCTTGGTGCCCGTCCAACCAGATTTTATGCTTGAGTTCCAAACAAATTCCTGGACGGCCTGTGTGGCCTGTGCTTCATCTAAGTCTGAGCTGTATGCTTCAGGGCCTGCCAACCTGTAGCCAGTCTTACTGGGCTGTTGCCAGCCACATGGCTTCTCACGTTTGCCCCTGAGAGCACACTGAACCTGTCTTCTGGTAAGGACTCAGTTCTTCCTAATTTCCTTTTTGATGCACCATTGAAACTCTGGAGTTGACAGTTTTAAAATTTCAGCCCAAGTTTTAACAGGGTACAAACCAAAGCTGAATTACTGTTGAGCAAGTTGGAGTTGCTTGAGTCAGGCTCAGGATTTCATCTGTCTTCCAATTGTCCTGAAGGAATATCTGATAGATTTATTTCCCAGTTAATTGTTTGGGACACAAGGTCATTCTTTAGGATTTTGTCCATTTTTAATTGCTGGAGACTTAGACCTATCATTTTACGTAAGATTCTGAACTGCTGAGTCAATATTGAAAATCGTTAGCATTGAAT